GTTGTGGGGTTGATTGGGCACACCAATGATAGCAGAATGATTTATGAATTTGCGACATCGCCTCCAAGACAGTAGTGACGGGAGTCCAAAGGACCAAAGCAAGTCCAAAGCTCCAGTAGCATACGGAAGGGGGTAGGAACAGCGAGTATTGCTCAGCAGAACCTTTGGGGAACCATTCCGGTATTTCTCTGGTCAATAAACGCGAAAAGAATGCCGAGACGATGGTGGTCAATTGGCAACCAATTCGTGAGAGTTTCGCGACTTGTCACATCATCTGATGCGCTGTCACGTTCAATCACCCGCATCACCGACCAATGATCGCCGACGGCATCACCTCTTTCTCTCTCCCTTCATGCCAGGATGAAGCACTTGTCGAGGTTGTCTTTCTTTCAGAGATCTGTGAGCATTTTATTCGAATATAAACTGGCTCTTTATACGAGCGCTGTAGCCAAAGTCTGAACCGACAAGCCAGAGTGAGCGACGTCGCTGCGACTTGGTGGCTCCTGACAGCTTTCAGCCAGAAACGAACCAGAAATAGGCAATGCCACATCAAACGACAAATTTTCCTGGCCGGGATTCAACTCCTTGAAAACCCTCTTTATCTTGTATGTTTGGATCTCATATATCTCGACCACTGCCACGCTGAATTTAAGAATATCTCTGACTTCAGTGGCGACTCGTATTCCGCATTTGGATCTCCAGGAAAACCACGCCCGCCCACCAAAATTGACCGTAACACAATTCCACACGATGAGAACGGCACTAACTGGGTAGGGTTCCTTCTCATGGATGACTCTTGTCACCGAAAATTGGTGGTCCATGATTTCGCCGTTGGAGGCGCGCGCGTTCCAGCGGTTGGCTGGGGTGCGGCGGTGGAGACTCAGGTTGATATCGATTTTCTTACTGGGTATCCGATGCAGCGCAAGCGGAAGAAGTTGCCGTGGGATTCCGCAGATTCGTTATTTGGTACCTTTTTTCTTCGTTTTTTGCAAGCAGCTGATGAATATTACAGTGACATGGGTCGGTATAAACGATTGCGCGTAAGCGCCTGACCTTTTCCAATACTGGCGAATTGACGACTTCTTGTAAGATATGCAGACACGCACGAGGATACACTAGCAGTGTTATTCGTGCTTCAAGAAAAGTTGTACGCTGCCGGCGCTCGTTTGTTCCTCTTCATTGATGTTCCGCCCATCGGTCGAACCCCTGCTGGTACGTTTTCATCCTTTTATATGAAGATTCTTCCACGAGTCTACACAGGCGCGAAAGCCTCTTCCGACATCAGCATCACATACCTCAACTGGAACTCATCTCTCCGAGAGTCCGTGCAGAAATTCTCTTCGGCGCATCCGGATGCAACGATCCTAACCTTCTCCGCGTTTGACGCCTTCAACCGAATCTTGGACAATTTGGGGGAGCATGGAATTCCGGAGCAAGACGTGTCGACGAGTGGTGGCGCTGTTTGGCGCGATCATCTTCATCCAACAAGCAAGATTCATCAGATTTTCGCGCGGGATTTGGTTGAGTTCTTGAAGGGAGCCGATGCCGAGGATGCGTGACAAGGAGATCCGTCGGCCGGTCTGATTTTTCTGTAGAGGCTGCGTCGATTGCGTATCAAGACTCTTTGTGCTCTCTTCATGTGCGCCCCGTTCTCGTAACTTCATGAGAATCAGGGTTTCAATACTGAAAACTGTGTTTGTTTCAAGAGCAGCGTTCAACGGACCTGATCACCCAACCCGCTGTGGGGACATGGGAAGTCGATTTTCGCACACAAGATCAGCATCATATCCTCCGTCGCTCTGTTATTTTAATTCTCACTCAATTCAAGAATGCCGGTAACTGGACGCACTGTCGCCAGATATTCTTCCATTGAGAATCAATTTGAATCACGGAGCGTGTCATCCTGGGCTGGAGATCGAAGAAGTGCATCAGTCTTTGACTCTTCTTCAAACTAGAAGCTGCCGGCGTTCCGCTTGTTCAAAACCACACTCAGTCGACCGTCATCTCAACCTTGCCTCGCCAGAGTGTGCTCAGTGGATCTCATGGCTATATCCACTGTTCTGTACTGTAAGCTCGGTGGCTAGACTATGGAAGCTCGCTATTCTGATGACACAGTCACAATATTTCGCGCATCACTTTAGCGAAAAGACGCCACACTCCGCTGGACCCACCCGCCTATGCAGCTAATCACAGTCTCTTACAGCTTCTCTGCTCTATCAAAATTTAGCCACAATCATGACTGCGTATTTCACAGCACGGTACGTGAGCGCTGATAAAAAATGGAAAAGCTGATGAAAAATGGAAGGTAATAATGTATTGAGAGGCGCCTGGGTACAATTGCTGTAGGCAAACTCGTCCGAGTCAGTCAATACTAAACGTGTGTGGCGTGTACAGGAGTCGAAAGAACACGATGAAAGGACGAGATAAAAGGACGAGACTGCATCTCCTCCAACACCCCCAATCTCCCAACTCACAGTTGCCTCTTCTCCAACCCTGCATTGGGCATCATGCGTACTCCTACTATCATCACCATCGCTCAGCACGTCGTTCAAGTCGAGACGCAGTGCACTTGCGATGCTGAGCCTGCGACGGCCGAGACCGTTCCTCAGAATGATGATGCTAAACCTAACGTGCCCGTCTGCGCCTATTGCGGCCAGCGCGGTGGACCGCATCCGTGTGTAGCATCGCGTATTCTGTGCATTGTTTGAAGTTGACCAGATTTAGTGCGTGGTGCCCTTTCCGTGCGCACCTGTCCTTCTCATATCAGCTTCATTGCCATCGTCCAAACTTTTTATTCTGCAGGTTGATTCTTTAGCTCCATGAGCTATCGTTCCAAGCAGCGAACATCGCCTGCGGTGTATGACCACGATTTATCTTTTCCTCTTCGCTCCTTACTAACTTAACCTATAGAGCACTCTTTCGCCTACTAATTTTGTTTTGTAGATTGCAACTGTATATGATGTTGTTTGATACATGATTTCGGTTACTTATCTTCGTCGAGGCAGATGTTCGTCTCTCGGCGCATTAGCGTGAGGCGGATAGGTAGGTATACGGTTCAATTGAACACGAATGTCGGATGTCGAAGACGTGGACCGGTAATATACAGGTACCCATACTCAATTGATAATTCATTTTGGCCCCAACCTTTGGCGCACCCAATAAGCACCCCTCCCCACGCAACTCTCTCCCAATCTTCATAGGCCTCATTTACTCCTAATACAACTGCCTCCATGAATTCATTGAAGTGGAAATCATGTATGACTCATACCCAGATCGCATCAGTAACTTGTGTAAACACCCTCTTTTCCCATGACCGAATCACTCATACATCTAGATCAGTCAATATTGGTCGTTCCTTCGTTCACCCTCGAATCCGGTGTTCAGCTTCACCAAGTCCCCGTTGCATACAAAACTTGGGGGACGCTAAACAGCAAGAAAGACAATGTCATGATCATCTGCCATGCGTTCACAGGAAGCGCCGATGTTGAGGACTGGTGAGCAGAATGGGACGATGGGTAGGTCGTATCTTGAACTAATGAGTATATATCTATCTAGGTGGGGTCCATTGATGGGTCCGGGAAAAGCATTCGACCCCCAAAGATTTTTTATCTTTTGCGCGAACGTCTTGGGCTCGCCGTACGGCTCTGCGTCGCCCATCACGAAAAATCCTGCGACAGGTAAGCTCTATGGGCCTGAATTTCCAGCGACGACCATCCGCGACGATGTATGGTTTGTATCGGTATCGGAATTCAAAATTTCAGGCATTCACTAATTTATTCTTCGAGGATACACAAACGAGTCCTCGACCACCTCGGTGTCAACTCCGTCGCAGTCGTAATCGGAGGCTCCATGGGCGGGATGGCTGTCCTCGAGTGGCCGCTATGTACTCCCGATGGATACATCCGACACGTCGTTCCAATCGCCACCTCCGCTCGTCATTCTGCGTCCGTCATCGATTTCTCCACTCATTCGACCGTGCTCTGATAGAACGAATCTGTAGATGGTGCATATCCTGGGGTGAAGCCCAACGCCAAAGCATCTACAGCGATCCGGCATACGGTGACGGATTCTACATTACTCAACCAGCGTCCGGGCTTTCCGCCGCCCGCATGAGCGCCTTGCTCACATATCGCTCCCGCGACTCGTTCGAGAGCCGTTTTGGCCGCCGCGCTCAGCTGAATGCCGCGCCAGTCGTTCCAGGAACCCCCACCCCGCCCGGCTCCCGACCACAATCGCCCGCTGAGACCGCCATCGCAGCACACAATGACGGGCACCACAGAATGCCTTCGTCGTTGACGACGGCCAGGCCGCCAATCTTCTCGGCCCAGTCCTACCTGCGTTACCAGGGCCAGAAATTCATCGCTCGCTTCGACGCAAATTGCTACATTCACATCACGCGCAAGCTCGACACGCATGACGTCGCTCGGGGGCGTACTACCACCTCCTCCTCCTCTTCCTCTGAGCCGGAAGACGACGACGGGACAGCTCTAGCGCAGGTTCTGGGGACGCTGCCGCCGCGTGCGCTCGTTATCAGCGTCGCCAGCGACGGCCTCTTCACCCCCAACGAGCAGTATGAGCTCGCGGCGCACATCCCTCACGCGGAACTTGTGACGATTCAATCGCCCGATGGGCACGATGGATTCTTGCTAGAGTTTCAGCAGATTAATGGGCATGTGTTGAGGTTTTTGAGGAGGGAGTTGCCGGAGTTGTATGTCGGAGCTAATCCAGAGGTGAATGGAGTGGAGTCAGATACGGCGGCGTTTGAGGTGAAAAAGAGCAGTGTGTTTGGGGAGGCGGAGGCGGATTTGACAAATTGGTAGATTGGGACTGTAATATGCCACAGTCCAAGCCAATAAAATATAAAATAGGGACAGGTGGAATTGGATTACATAGATGAAGGATAATTTATCAGGTCGTTGGGCAAAGCTTGGGCATTAATATTTTAGGCAAGGACTTGAGCCAAGATTAGTAAAGCACAAAAAGAACTTACAACTATGTCATAGCAGCAACTCGTTTCGATCGAGTGACCTCGGGGTGACATTTTCAATCCGGAATATGGGCCCCGCGCGCTTCCATCTGCGCCATGCTGCTGTGCTCGACTATTGTCCAGCTGTTATCATGGCATGATCGTCAATCGATCGGAAAGTCAGAGTCATTCGAAATGACTCACCGTCGTATACCGGTAACCTCCGCAATCATTCACACGGTCTCCCGACTTGTCACCAACAATCTCGTCCTTCGGCAACTCGTCTCTGGAGTGTTCCCTCGCATTCAAGTCCGATGGACCCTATATTGCCGCCCGAACTCGAACGGGAGATATTTGAGACGGCAGCTCTGCAAGATCGCCGCCATATTCCCCGGCTCCTCTTCGTTTGCCGCAGGGTTCACCGATGGTGCTTGGATGGTGCGTCGTGGCCCAGTCTGCGCTAAACCAGTCATGGAGTCACGGAACAACAACGGTCGGACTAACTAGCTTATACTACAGGCTAGAGCCGCTACTGTACCGCGTCCTTACGGTCATCAGCCCCACAGATCCCCGTTTCTGTGCGTTCAAATGCAAGCCCACGACTTTCAAGCAGGCGAGTTTGCGCCATGTTTGGGCGGACGACCGCATGCCAACGGAGGCCGTAGTAGATCTCTTTTCCGAATGCACGGGAATTAAATCTCTATATTCTGCCTGGCGCGACATTCCTCAGGAACTTCTCCCCCTCCTCGACCGCATGCGAATCTAGAATCTCAGCATTACAGTCGATAACGCTTTTGCCCCGACGCCGTGGGCGTGCGCGATGCTTTCCCCCTCTATGTTTCTCTTCGTCACTCACTTGGAACTATATTTCCGTCTCGCCACACATGCTGAATGTTCAATCAAGTGGGACGACTGGTCACACCTAGCTTTACTCCCCGTGCTTACACACATCTCGTTGTCAACGGCTTTGGCTAGTGATCTTCTCCAACCGATGCTGGATCACTGCCCACAGCTCCAAACTGTCGTCCTCAATCTAGACGACTGGAAAGAGGCTAGATTTTTTGCGAAACCTCTTCCTGTACAACCTGATCCACGTATCGTGGTGATGACGGTGCAAGGGATGTTTGAAGACTGGGAGAGAGGTGCATGGGGCGAGGACGATTATTGGAGCCGCGCGGACACGTTTATTGCTCAAAAACGCAGGGGTGAAATCGATAGTACGCTAATTATCATTCGGTTTGGCTAGAAGCACTTCTAACCAGATGCTGACAGAGACATGCTACTTGCTTGAGCACAATATACCTCGATCCAGCACCAGGTGCAGATATAGTCAAAGACTTCCCCGTGCTAGTAGAACCCACATTGGTACCTCCTCCATCTGTTCAAACTGTTGAATGCTGCAATATACTACCTGAATCTTTGAAACCTATACTCTTCACATTGAAAAATGCCCAAACCCGCGGCACGTTCAGGAGGTGTTCATTCTGTTTATTTTGATGCGGCGGTTTTTTCGATTTAGTACATAGTACACTATGCGTTGATATCAAGACGAGCCGTTTGGACCCCAAGCTCTTCATGACCTTGTCATCAATTTTGCGGATCATGAACAAAGGTAACATTGATGAACCCGGTTACAAACGAGAAGCAGAGTCGGAATATAAAGCCTATCGAGATATGCAGCCTTCTCGAATATCTCCCGCTCAACTTTCAAGTCGACTGTGAGGTTTGAGAACAAGAGAGTGTGGGAGAAACGCTGTCATTCGGTCCAATTAAGAGGATGGGTTAGGGTTAGGGTCTTCTTCCTCTACCACAAGCAAATCTACTTATCGGTTTCTACCAATAAGCATGGCCGCCACGGGTCGGATGGAGCATTCAAGCTATTCAAGACTCGACTTCCCAGCTTACCGAATCTGCGGCCGGAAAGTCGAGACGTGGAAAACCTGGGGTATGACGCGGCAACGACTTCATGGACTTCAAGGACTGGATCATTCACTGGCTCATCCTTGGCCTCATCTTTCTCGCGGCGCCACCTACTAAAAGCCATGAAGCTCGTCATTCTCCCTCTCTACACTTTCTTCCTCAAACCCCATACAATCTAAAATTCGATTAAAATTCGACGATGCAAGCAGTATCCAACAAACTTGCCGAGGTGGGTTCACTTTCTTTGGGCAAAGGATGAACACATTGATTTCAACGACGTTTAGCGCATCGGTGACGTTCCGACCGTCGTCTCCGCTGAATATAAGCCACGAAGCGATGGCGGCAAGATGAAAGCTCTCGCCTGGTTCGGCACACGCGACGTCCGTCTCATCGAGGCTGCTATTCCAGACATTACGGATCCGGACGACGTGGTGTTGAGAGTAACGGGGACGACGATATGCGGGTCAGATCTACATCTGTAAGTCGCGTGTAGCTGGGAACTTGAGGGGACATTAACACGGAAATTTCAAATTAGATACCACGGCGAAATCATTCAGCTCCAGCAAGGCGATATTTTGGGACACGAGGTGGGTTTGTTCAAACTCTTACGAACCAAGGTTTAACAGTCGTCGTTTTATCTCGCCAGTTTATGGGAATCGTTGATCGCGTTGGCCCAAACGTCAAGAATATCCAAGTCGGCCAACGCGTCGTCGCCTCCTTCCAAATTGCCTGCGGAGAATGCTCCTATTGCAAGCAAAAACTATCTTCCATGTGTGACCGCACGAACTCATCCGGGTACGCCTCACCTTCCCTAGCCATTTCACTCCAACTAATCACAAGAGTTAGACTGCAAAATACAATGTACGGCCACCGCGACGCAGGCTTCTTCGGCTATTCGCACTTCACCGGCGGCTTCCCTGGCGGACAAGCAGAATACGTCCGCGTCCCGAAAGGCAACGTCAACCTCCTTCCCATACCTGATTCGGTTCCCGACGAGAAAGCGTTGTATCTCTCGGATATCCTCCCGACGAGCTATCACGCTGTCGTTGATGTGGGCGTCAAACCGGGGGATGTTGTTGGGATCTGGGTGAGTGGACGGATAACTTGGCTTCTTGTTCAGGAGAAGGAGGAGCCAGCGAATGCTTACCTGATGATTCTACAGGGTCTGGGTCCAATCGGCCAATGCTGCGTCCGTTTCGCGCTCCTCAAAGGCGCAAAACGCGTCATCGGCATTGACAACGTTCCTGCTCGACTAAAACTCGCGCAAGAGATTTCTGGTATCGAGGTCATCAACTTTAGCGAGCACACCGACGTCGTGAAACGGATTCAAGAATTAGTTCCTGGCGGTCTGGACGTCGCCATCGATTGTGGTGCGTTCTCTCATCCATCCCTCCATCCACTTACCATTAACTTGAATGTGCTCTACAGGAACATTCCACCAACCAAAAACTCTCCTCCACAAAGTCGAAAAGGCCCTGATGCTCGAAACCGACGTCAGCGAAATCGTCAACGAAATGATCATGGCGACGCGCAAGATGGGCAGCTGCGCCATTATCGCCGCCTACGCGGGGTACACCAACCACTTCAACATCGGCGCCCTGATGGAGAAGGGGATCAGGCTGGTGGGGTGCGGGCAGGCGCCGGTACATAAGTATTGGGAGGAGCTGTTGGAGATGATTGTGGAGAGGAAGTTAGATCCGACTTTGTGCGTTTCTTCATCCTACTTCCTTTGCTTTGTTTGAGATTGTCTTGCTGATTCGGATGACTTTTTGCAGCATCCTGACCCACCGCGTCTCCATCGACGAATTCCCCGCACTCTACGCCTCATTCGACAAACGACTCGGCGGGGTGGAGAAAGTTTTCGTCGAGACCAAATTCTCCGCTCCGCCTTCGACTGAGGCGCCAAAGTTGAGCTCGGTGGCGGAGTGGGGCGAGGAGGTGTACACCGTTTGAAGGGAATAAATGAATGAAGCTCCGAGTCGAACTGTTCACGCTAATACTGTATAATCATGACTTCGAACCTTGCAAATTATGTAGTATGTTGTATGTAGCCTTCAACAATCTGAATGTACTGTATCATGTACGCGACCCAATTCGCAAGGTGCATAGAAAAGGCAAGAACAAAAGAAGAAAAAGAAAGACGGCAAATGGTGCAAGGGCATCTGGGAAACGAACCCGGACCGAACGCGTTCGTAAGGCCATCGACTATAGGTGTTAAATGAATGGCGTTCGGTAGCCAAAATGCCCGCTGTTCGAATTTCGGTTCATCCGTATCAACTGGCCGCCTGAGCTTCCAATACGCCCCCGAAAAGATTGAATCCGTCCTCAAACATATACAAGGCGAATAAATCCGTGTGTACATTGGATAAACAAATCGAAGAATAAAACATTGGACGAATCTCTAGGTAGTCTGTACTGATACAAGCGGTACACAATCACGCGTCGAAAAAACCGAAACAAGCGAAACAAACGAAACCTCATCGTGATCATCCCTTGGCCTTATCACCCTTCCCCTCCCAAACACAACTCATCATTGCACAATACTCAAGCCTTCCCCTCACCAACATGCATCTTCTCCATCAGCTTCGCCATAAACCTCGACGCTCGGTTCTTCTTCTTTTTCTCCTTCTCCCCGCCCTTCTCGCCATCCTCCACGTCTTGACCCATCTCCCTATGGTCATCATTCACCGCGCTCACAGGCGCATACGCATGCGCAGGCACCTCGACGTCTCCAGTCACCTTCCCATTCGCAAAGACGTCCGCACGGATAACGCCATCATCATCGCCAGCGCAGGCGCCCTCCACTACCCCACACTCCCCCTCACGCTCCCCCTCCTTCCCGTTCGCCGCCTGAGGAGGCGGACTTGCATACGCCCGTTCATACCACGGCAACTTCGAGGAAACACGCTTCTCCTTCTCCGTCTCCTGTGTCCCAATCCCATTCCCAACCCCGCTCCCCATGACATCCCCCTCTGCACCACGCTCCTCCTCCTCGACCCCCGTGATCAGCGCCACCGGCACCACCACCCTCTGCGCATCTAGGAGCTCATGCGTGTGCACCGGAGTGTGGGCGTCTCCCATCTTCTCATGCGCGACCTTGGCCTCGTCGTCGTCCAAATCATCGGCGTCCATGTCGTTGGCGGCGTCGGAGATGGAGGGGGAAGAAGAATGAGCAGCCGAAGGGGGAACGACGGCTGGCTCGACG